TATATATATATATATATATATATATATGTATATACACGTTTTGTATACACGTTTGTATACACATACACATACATAAACGTGTATATATGTATATATTATATATGCACACACGCGCAATACACATACGGATTCACACTGCACAGCGGAGACCCTCTTCTCGTCTTCCCGTCCGTCCTCCTTTCCACCCACGTGATGACCGGCGCAGATTCCGCATCTCGTGCGAAACTTTTCCGCAGACTTCGCCGTGCTTCTCGCAGTGGAGTCAACCGGGAGTCTCGCAAATCGATTTCTCGATAGATAGAGCCGCTTCTCCTGGCGCGGCGCGATCTCGAGCGGGAAAAGCGACGGAGGAGACGCGACGGGGGCAGGGACGGAGGGATCGGTCAGCGAGTTGCTGCTGCTGCTGCTGCTGCTGGTCGCACGAGCCCGCGGGTAATCTCGGAGCCGCGATCTCCCGCGCGACGTGTGTATTCTTACCGGCGCGGGATTTGCATTTTCAAGCGAGGGGACTCGAGAACGGCCGCTCTCCTCTTGTAATTTCGCGCGCACCTCTACACTTCGTCTCAAGCCGACGCATCTCTCACAGGGTTTATTGGAAACAATTATGTTCAGTATTTACCGAAGCCAAATGCGCACGCGGAGTAAGGATTAGCCACATGAACAGCGATACATATAGCTGCGGTAGTTAAGATGTGTCATTGAGACAGAGACAGCTAATATTGCCGCTATCAAAGCCAAATTTATCAGTTATGTGAACTTCGACGCTACAGTGAAAAATATTCGCTGCCAGATGCACACGATAGTGATAAAACTGCACTTTACAGCCGTCAAAAGTCTGAAATTGACGTTTCGTGTTATATGTCCAAACCAAAGTTCTCCATTTGATTTTTAACACAGATTAATGTCCGCTTTAACACAAACACAAAAACTGATGTCTTTCGTGCTTACGTGATTTTCACCCCACAAAAAGATCATTTCATGTCCATTGGAGATACGGTAATTTCTCCTTTTCGATGGTTTTCGTTTCAAATCACTACGACGCCTACAAGAAAGGTCATTGAAGCTTGCATCGATCCGCTTTCTCGATCGATCAGCGCGCGCGCTACCCTCTTACCGCGCTGTAGGGTAGGTCACGACGCGACGCGTAATAAATGAAAACAACAGCCACGTTTCGAGAAAACCACCTGTAGTGCGTGAACCCCACTCCGTAGCTCAGATAAGGATAGTCCGACCACGTGGTTGCTGTAACTAGGAATGTACGATTTTACGATATATCGCAAGCACTGATTTTCTTTTTTCGAATCGCAATGTAATACGCAATTAGACCTTTATCGCAAAATCGCAATTCAAAATAACTCTTCAATTTAGTCAAGTATTTCTGCAAATATCGCGCGACAATTTATGATATTTTATATATTATATTACTATCTAATCTTTATTCAGTCTATTATTTAGAGGCTTAATGAGACTATGCTATTATAACAGCCTTAAGATGTCAAGTTGCATTATCTTTTTATATATGTTTCAGAAGATTACCAGAGATTGCTATATTTAATATTGATCGTTAATATTAAAAAAAAAAGGTAATAAAAAAGTAATCTTATTGACCCGCGTAGAAAGCGTAATGAGGTTAAGCGATGTATCTAAGAAAACATTTCCTAAGAAAACGTTTAACTTCATTATGTTTTCATTTTTAACTATTCTTTCACAGTAAAACTTGTGTTTTCTTATAGTGAACATTTCAAAGAATATTTCGATGCAGCACGCAGAAAGAGTTGATTTACTTATTTTTAATATATTTAATATTTATTTAAACATTACGGTACTCATCATGTCCTTGATTCCCTTATGATTAAAAATCGCATTAGCGATATTGAATCGCGCGCGATTAAAAATCATCCATTGCGACTCTTAAAAAAGATCACATCGCGATACACAATTTTACAAATTGCACATTCCTAGCTGCGGCCAAGTGGTCGTTCATATCACTTTAGAACGAAGAAAACATGGAGCACAGTGCGCCGACACCAGCGCCAGTAGCGGACAAACGCGAGAACCAAGTCCAAATTCTGATGTCGATAGCTAGTCTATAATTCGCACATAAATCGACGTAGCGACGTGAAATAAACAGCCAGTGTCGTGATCGATTAAAGTACGGTGGTGCAAACAGTCAGATAAGCGCGCAATATTAGCAAAGCTAGCCAGCCGAGGCTAGTTGTCAATGGCCGACCAGCCGGCTCACTGTGTGAGGCTAGTTGTCACGGGACGGCGCGCTTATTTAACCAGACGCTGTTTGCACAGCGCCACCATGCTTTAATCGATCACGTCGCTCGAATTTTCCAATGAAAGAACAGCATAGACGCGTGCCAAAGAGATTGTTTTTCGTTTTTGTGGAATGCGGATTCTATAAGGTTAATTCCCTACAGAATCGAATGCTCAAGATTCATG